TATATTTAAAAAATATTATGAAAATATATCATTTAAATCATACTTTATAACAAAGTTTTAATCATTGAATTAGACAGAGGTAAGAAAATTTTTCTGATTTCTTTTATTTTTTACTAAGGATTATGAAAGAAATTATTAAAATTTTTTATATATCTAATAATAAACACTTTTATTTTTTTAATTTACTATTTTAATATTTTATGTTTGTTTGATGCTTTGAAAATTAAAATATTCAAATAATAGACTTTTATATTTTAAACTAGAGAAATTTCATAAATATTCGAAAAATAAATGTCTAAACAACATTTTCTTATTGTATATCTAATAAATTTTATAATCCTATCCTTTTTCTATTGACATTACTCACTAATACTAAAAAATAAACCAGTTTTAAATTTTAAAAAAAATGTTAATTATATATAAGAATATTAAGAATATAATGAAACATTAAATTTTATTAGAATGTTCCATAAGATCAAATTATATGTATAGAACAATTTCCTAAAATCTGATAATAAAATTAACAGTTTAAAGAAACTGAAATAAGAATTCAAAATAATTTTAAACTTAAAACATTTAAAAACACTTAAATATTATTTTAATTGCTTTAAACACTTTATTTTTTGTTAAAACAATCTTTAATCAACAACATTAACAAAATTAAAATCATTAACAGATTGAATACTCCTCCTTAATATTCCAAATGTGTGTGAAAATTTAAATCTGAACATAAAGGTTAAATTAGATTCTTAACATAAATACTAAATGGAGGAAAGAAAACATAGGAAATTTAAATAAACAATGTTTGTCATAAAAAAAAAAATTAACTGATAACTTAAAACTATGAACAGATCTTGTAAAAAAATTTGGAAAATTGCATGGCTTAACAATAAGCTACATTCAGATATTTTTCCTTTTTAATGTTAACAGAAAGAAACAAGTATCTAAATCTCTATTTTATCTATTAAGAATCTGGAAGCTGTACAATAAATAAATGATCAGTGAAAAACATTTTGGCCTATTGCCTCCACCTCATGCTGAAAAGTTATCTACTAAGAGTCAGCAACCTCTCTGGAAAAGAACCAATTTTTTGAATATTCTTAAAATAAAACTTTATGAGAACTATGTAGCTTTCATAAGTTTCTAACATCAAAGAGAACAATATAACAACATTCTATTGACATTTTTCCTTAATCAAAAGTTAATTTAATAACTTAAATTTTAAAAAGCTGAAAAGTATACTGCACAAAATTTTTATATTAAGAAAAAATAGAAATTGTCTGAAGACAACTTAGTATAATATTATAAAAGCATTAAATTATTACTTTGGTATATTTAAAGTTTTATAGAAAAAATTTTTAGTTAAAGCATAATTAACAAGAAATATAAAAATATTTAGAACAACACTCTATTGACATTTTTCCTTAATCAAAAGTTAATTTAANTGATTCAACACTTGTTGGACGAATGGTCATTAAATTAAAATTAAACAAAAAATATCTCACATAAAATTAATAATGAGGTATATTGTTGCTTACTGTTTTTTTTTTCAATGTCCCTTTAGCCCTTTTAAATATCTATAAACACAATAGTTTCTACATAGAAATTTCTAGTATGGATTTTTCATTTACCGAAAAAATTTACCAGTAAGTTTATCGAATGTTTTTTTGTCAATTTATCAGTTAATTGGTAAACTGGTATACAATCCCTACTGCCAACTGTTGACCTACAACTGAAAATGGAAGGACTAATTGAAAAGCAATCACTAAAAGCTTGTCATTGAGGTTTTTCCTTCCCTCTAAACTTGCAACACTGGAATTCTAAAATGACCTGGAGATGCCTTTTTACTGAAAGTTTAGTGTAAAATAAAGTGGAAACTATTGCTTGTTTGCTTCAATAAATGTTTATCATTACAATGATAGTTTAACTATAGTATAATTCCTGAAAGAAGTGAGTTTAAATTTTCAACTTTAATCTCAAATATTTAGGCAATTATTGTATATTTACAAATATGTTACTCTACATTTTTTGCTAATCTTGACAAATTCTATCCTACATTTCCAGGAAGAACACTTTTTTTGCAACACCCTGTATATTGACTAGAGTTTTGCCAAATGAGCTGAGCCACAGCTCAGCTCAATTGTAACTCAATTAACTTAGTCAGTAATCAACTCTCAGTTGTGGCTCTCAGATGTAATCCAGAATTGTCAATCAGCTCACAGTTCAGCTCAATTTCAGTTCAATCTCAGAGTATTTTTATACTTTGAGGTAGTCTTCGTTCTATCTATGTATTATTGGGATTCTATTGTACATGTTTTGCTAGAAATAACTGTTGTTATTTGTATCATTTTAAAATATTATCCTTTATTATTTTTAATAATTCTATTAATCTATAAATTGTTTATAGTTCAATTTCTTAATGCTTATCTAGGTTTTATTTGAATACTTTCATTCTCATAACAGATAAATGAAAACAGATTCAACATACTGTGAATCAATTAATAATAATGGAAGTTTACTATTACAGATTGCATCTGTAATAGTAAACTTCTCATTGTGTTTAATTGTTTTGCTATATTTATAGTTAACATGTTAACTCAATTAAAATTGCAATATTCTATCAGCATATATATTTATTTATTTTATTTATTTATTTTACATATATATATATATATAAAATATTATAACAGTCCAAATTATTTTATATCACAGTATTTAAGAGGAGTAAATACAATATCAAGTTAGAATTAAAGGCAAGTGAAAATATTATTTATATTCTAATTCACTAGAAGAGTGTATATAGCTTAACATCTATACTATTATGAATACCTAAAAAGTACATTCTTTCAAACTAGTCTGTTGTGTATCTACAACCTATAAAAAAAATAATGGGAGAAGAAATATAAGATATCAGTTGTTCAGTAAAATCAGTAATTTATTTTCAACAAAAACTTAAAGAAAATGAGTGAAAACACATCAAAAATAATGGAAGACAAGTTGAAAAACCTGATTTTTACAATAAAACTATGCAAGTTTTAGTGAACTGTAAAATTTCTTTTATTATAATATTATCCATAAACACTATCATCTCCTAATAATTTATATTATTGTCATAAATCAAACAAAAGCTTTTAAGTTTTCAATGTTGCAACATCATCAATGTAATGTTGCAATCTCAAACATTAAAATGTTATTTTATAATTGTTAGCAGTTCATTGTAGGTGGAAAACAGAATATCAAAATCTAAACTCCTAAACTTCCTGTGTTGAAAATACAAAATAGATACCAAACAACAAGTTTTTTTTTATTGGATCACTTCATTTTGGTTTTATTTATCAAGTAATAATATTATATATTTTATTACTAACAATTATGAATGCTAAAATAAATTTAAAAGAATTAGAGAATAATTTTAATGTCAATGATATCTAATTGATAATTCAATGAGATATTAAGCTGAATGATTGATTAGAGTTAATCATTCAGCTCTTATTTTTGAAAAGATACATTTTCTTATAAAGATCTGATAAAATGCAATGGTTACAATTCAGCATCCAATAGGATGCTGAAATTCTGTTTTGTTCAGCCAATTAATGTTTAGAAAATGCTACATAAAAATTTGTTTTAATATTGTCTTATAACTTGAAAGTTATTTAATTAATAATATTTTAAACTGTACACAAACATTGCTTTAATCAATATAAAACATATTTCCACACTATAAAGTTTAAAAAAATGAAGAAAATTATGTCATTACTATTTACTTTGGCAGTCAATAACGTCCATTGATACAGTTTCAACAGTCAATTGCTCAACTTCTAAACAAAACCTTTTAAGTAGTTTTGAAAGTTTTATAAAGGGGGAAATTACTGGAAACTTATCAGCTTTTAAGATAGAAGTTGAATTAGGAGCATATGAAAATATCAGTTAAAGTGTGGATTGATGGACAAAGTATTGAAAAGAAAAGATGAAACATATGTAAATGTTTCTTTAGAGATTTCAAGAAAAATTCCAATGGCAAATGAATGTCCACAGCACAAAGAACTTTTCAACTTCCTGAAAATACTCTTTTTGACTTTAAACAAAAAAAAAAAAAAGCTGTCTGATAAGTTTCTAATTGTAAGTTAAAATCAACAGATAACCCACATCTGCTTTCAAATTAATTTTTAAGTATAGATTACCCAGAAATTACCCACACAAAATTACAGTAATTAAAAATGAGCAATATTAGAAATGTTTTCATGTTAAAATTTGTCATACTCAGATCCCATGACAGCTAATATCAGTAACAGTTAATTTGATAACATTTGAAAAGTTCTTTCATCACATTTCAAATATTAAATACATTTCAGAAGTTTTAAATCAGACTTAATTCTTTATTAAGTTAAATAATGTTAAAACTTATAAATTTTTAACCTAGCCAATTTTTATTACAATTTAGAAGCTTTTTTATCTTAACATTTGACATTCCTCAAGTAAGTAAACTGATTTAATAAATTTTATAGCATCTTTTAAAACAGATATATAAGTTACGCTAATATTTTCTACAATTACAAAAACGAAAAAAATATATAATTTAAATTTAAAAAATAAAAGATTATACTCATCTTTACTACAACACCGGAGAATAGTAATATAATTACCTCTTTCTAACCTGTTACCGGTGTGTCTACTAACTCTTAACGATCCAAAACGAATCAAAACTAACGTTTTCGAACCCTTAACCGGTTCTTCTTCAGGTTTTTTTCGAATCTCTGATGGAAAATGCAGCTCGTAAAAACTTTAAATTCGAAATATGTAAGTAAACTTACATATTTCGAATTTACCGGTTAAGGGTTCGAAAACGTTAGTTTTGATTCGTTTTGGATCGTTAAGACACACCGGTAACAGGTTAGAAAGAGGTAATTATATTAAAAGATTATAATCATAATTTTTATCAATTCAAAAAACTTTTAATGAAAACTATATTCAAATTTTAATAATATACATATAAAAGTTACCAGTTTTTTTTCAACTGAAACAGTCTCAGTTCCAAGACAAGCTGCCATTTTTTTCCCAATACTTTGGCATGTTTGTTTAATTTGATCAACTCGTTTCTCAGCATTAATGAGATCTTCGTTTAATACCTCAGTCTTCTCAGCTCTGACAGAATTATAAAAATTTTAAAAATTATTTTTCACATTAAAATTTTATATTTAATAAAACGTTTTTATAAATTTTATCTTAAACTTTTATTTTATAAAAATTACTTACAAGTTCTTAAAACTAACCTAAATAAAAAGCTTAAAATAATTTTTGATTATTTCTAATAAAAATTTTTAAAATAAGAAATTAAATTACAACTGAATGGAAAGCAAAAGGATATATATATAAAAAGATAATTGAACTTAAGAAGACTGGAGGAACATAGCTGATATTTACACTGAATTCATTCAATCAACTAGTTCTGGGCCTTGGCCTTTGCTCCCTTTGATCAAACTATTTTTGTCTATTCTAAATTGATCTTTTGAATTTCATGAATTATTATTAGTTCTTCATTATTTTCATTTATGTTCTAAATTTAAATTTTTCATTCTTTTACTTCTTTGCAATTTTCAAAAATCTAAGTAAATGTGACTTCCGAACTTTATTATTTGATATTTCTTTTTTTTCTCTCTTATCAAATACTTTTTTTTTAGAACTTAAGCTGCTAATTTCATATTTTAAACTGAAGTATAAGACTGTATGAATCTTCTATTAATTTAGAATGTTCTTCTCATTTAAATTACTTTCATTATGTTAATATGTATTAGAATGTTCCTTTTAATTAACCAATACCTAAGTGTGATTTCCTCTGGAAATTGTATTTAGGTGTTGGTTGTTTAATCTTACAGTTCCAGTTTATAAGCGTGTTGTTTGTTGTATGTTCCTTCTGTTCTTTTTTACTTAGGTTTATTTGTAGTGCCATAATAAAGTGTCACATACAGATGAAAAAAGTTAAAAAAAAAATAGGCAAGAGATGGCAGCACTTTCCTGCAAAGTTTCATTGCCTATTGCATATAGCAAAACCACTGTAAGTTTATGATATATATACACAGTGCCGTAACTAGGCAGATGCAACAGGTGCACCCGCACAGAGCCCACTTGAAAGGGAGGTCCAAAATGCATGTATTTGTTTTATTATTTTCCCAAACTTAATTAAGGGGCCTAAATGCAAGTTCTTGCACAGGGCACAGGAATAGCTAGTTACGGCACTGTATATACATTTCATATGGTTACTTTTCAACATAATCACTGTGAAGATTGAGGAATTTGTCATATCTGTGGATGAACTTTTCAATCCCCTTGTCATAGAATGTTGCCACCAGTGAATTGAGATGGTCTTAACAATGTTGTTTTGAAGATCATCATTTGTCTCAAACCTCTGCCCTGCTAGCCATGTTTTCAGTTCAGGAAAGACGTGGAAGCCTCCATACATTAAAAAGTTTTAAGCTGGATGGAAATCTTCACCACCTGTAAGCACCCAGTGTATAGCTCTGATTTAGCGCTAAGCACCTCTTTACTGAACTGAAAACGTGGCTTGGAGGGCAGAGGTTTGAGACAAATGATGATCTTCAAAACAACATTAAGGCCCATCTCAAGTCACTGGCAGCAACATTCTATGAAGAGGGGATTGCAAAGCTCATTTACAGATATGACAAATGCCTTGATCTTCATGGTGATTATGTCGAAAAGTAACCATGTTTGTACCTAACTTTTGGTAGTAAATTCATTTTGTTATTTACACTCGTCTTTTTTTTTTATGNGATTTTGATAAACTTCAAGTGAAAACAACTCTGAGTGATTGGTCAATTGCAGGTTAACAGGTATGAAGCTGTTACTCTGTCCTGTAATACAGTACTTAATAATAAAATGTAACCACAACCTTTACAAAATTTTTAAATTGTATCACAAAAGACAAAAAGCCTTAAGAAACACTATTTTATATAAATAAAATAATGTTTAGCGTGATTTTATGATAATAAGTAATGCCATCAGAGCTTGAAAAAAAAAAAAAAACCAGTAAACCAGTAAGAAACCAGTAAAAGCTTAAAATGCATTCTTGTATATTATATATTAAGAATTTATATATCAATTTAATCATCATTATTATTTGCATATGTCAAAATAGTTTAAGATTACATTTGAATGCTATCGAAACAATAGAAACTATAACAACTGATTTTAATATTATGAACATAGAATTATGTTCTTCTAATCATCTCTCTATATAAACAACATATATTCATATTTATCTGCTAAACAAATTAATTAACATTTATAACATTCAAATATCAAAAAAAGAAAGCAATTTATATTGTATGAAAAATATAAAACATATTCTAAAGTTGGCATAAAATTCATATCAATATAACTGAAACTTTGTGAATACATTAAAATTAATCAATTAAAAGCATATTTACTTTCTTGATTAATTCTGACTAATAAATTTCTAATAATAATAATAATAATTTTCATTAGAAATTTATACTATTAAATATAATAAAATACAACAAAAGATCATTCACCCAAAATGAAAAACAGAAGTAATAAGATAATAAAATTCTAAAATAATTTTTTATGAAACATTTTTTAAAACTGAATCATTCCAATAAATTAACAACAATTTGCTACAGTAATTCAAAGTCATCACTAATTTGTTGCTTTTCCTAGTCATTTTTAATCACAATCATAAGGAATATCGCTTCTGACTTATCTTCTATTGGAAAAAATGTATTGTTGTTACCTAATTGATGATCAATAACACATTCTCAAATTAACTTGTACGACAATTTATATCTTGAAAAATCACCTTCTGAATACAAATTTTCTAAAACTATGCTGTTTATATTCATTTTGTTCTTATACTATAATATAGTACTCACATTACATACAATATATTAAGTGCCAAAACTTTTTTATCACTTTGCTCTTTTAGAGTTAATCATCTAAATATCAGAAATATCATTCATTTGGAATAGAGCAAGTCCCAGACTTCTCAGATTAATGAACCTCTATTATATATATAATTTACATTATAAAAACAATTTTCATTTAACTAATATGTAATGCAATAATAAATTCAGCAACCATTTGGCTATTTACTATACTGTAAAAATACTAAATTATTTTAAATTACAAGTATTATTTTTAAGAGTGTAATACAGTGATATATAGTAATATATTTTTACATTCAATACTTCTAATCAATTAAACATTAAAAAATAAAGTAGAGCAGTTAAACAATAACACACTCTCTCTCAATCATAGATTAAGAACAAAGATTTTCCTTTACAAAGTTATTGAAAATGGCTATTATTTTTATATACAGTAGAGCATCGATTATCTAACTCAATTGGGAACTGGGGTTGGTCGGATAACTGAAAAAATGGATAACCGAAAAATATGAAAAAATACATTATTAGTATAGTATATTAGTATATCTCATGTATCAATAATTAGTATATCGCTATTAACCTACTTTACGTTGAATTTTCATCGATGTTAAGCCTAACAAAAATTTTTTTAAAATAATAATTGTTGCTATTGTATCGTTAAAATTTAGAAAATTAAGCCTTGTTTAAATATTGGCTCCCTTTCATGGTCGAGCCAGTGTTGCCAGCTAAAACACATAAAAGTACTATTAAAGTAACCAAGACATAGCCAAATATTGTAGCGCCACATCACTAGCGAACATTTGAATTTGCTGACTAGAACAATCGGTTAACCGATGTGACGGTTAATCGGGGGTCGGATAATCAATGCTCTACTGTAGTATATAATATAGTTTGTGGTGCTAGTATCAAAAATTCTCACAGTTTTTAAAAAGTATATCATTGCTACTATCTTACTCTGAGTAATTTGATGTACTGGTAGATAATTTATAATTAGATATTAATGTATAACAACAAGTTAACTGCAACAACTGTCAATGATGGTTAAATGATAAACAAGAAAACATTAAAAAAATGTTTGTGGGCATACAATACATTCTTAAAAATGCTTACTTTTCACCACAATTTTAATATTAACATAAACAATAGATGAAATTAGGATATTAGAAGAGGTCTCAGCTCAAACTGTAGAAAATTTGATGGAATATTAAGCAGATTCTCTCTCTCTCATCTTTCACATTGATAGTAACAAATATGATTTTGATAAACTTCAAGTGAAAACAACTCTGAGTGATTGGTCAATTGCAGGTTAACAGGTATGAAGCTGTTACTCTGTCCTGTAATACAGTACTTAATAATAAAATGTAACCACAACCTTTACAAAATTTTTAAATTGTATCACAAGACAAAAAGCCTTAAGAAACACTATTTTATATAAATAAAATAATGTTTAGCGTGATTTTATGATAATAAGTAATGATATTCATATAAAAATATTATGTTATGATATTTAAAATAATCTGTTATTGTAAAAAATGAATTATTATTCTTAGCTTAGAACTGGATCAACAGATGTTAATTTTGTTGCTGTAAATATATAGATACTTTTTAAAATTGTGTCCCAAATCCTGAATTACTTATGCAACACAGAGAAAGTATTTGTTCAAAAACAATTTAGTTTATAATAAAAATTATAAAAGAGCTTGTTTCAAAATTGTTAAAACTAATATTTCAAATACTATAGTAGTGGTAACAGACTTATAACACTGCTACTGGTAACATCAAAATGACACTTCTATCATCAGAATACATACCAGTAATACAGGTGCATTCTGATGACAGAAGTGTCATTTTGATGTTACTAGCAGCAGTTATTAGTTTCTATAATAAAACTTGTTTTAATTCATATTAAAATGTTTCTTCTTTTTCTTTACATTCTTACTTATAACTCAAAGTTTGAAAAATGTTTTTATATATTTACAATTTTGTAAATCTCATGACTGCAAATAATTTATGTATTAAATAGTTGTCCTTATTGGAGATTCTGGAGTAGGAAAAAGCAATCTTTTATCACGATTCACAAGAAATGAATTCAATTTGGAAAGCAAGAGTACAATTGGAGTGGAATTTGCTACACGGAGTATCCAAGTAGATGGGAAAACTATAAAGGCTCAAATTTGGGATACTGCTGGGCAGGAACGATACAGAGCAATCACTAGTGCGTAAGTA